AAATATAGAGTCTAATAGGTTCATTTAGTAGGAACTCTATTTAGTCGAATGAGGGTACTAGGAAGGGAAACAGCATCAAAGAAACGTCACTACAGGAAAGAAAATAACCGGCCATCCAAAGAACAATATTAACATGATCAGAAGAGAACTCTTTATCAGATCACGGCTTTATTAAATATCTCAAACCTACCTTAGGGGGCATCTTGACGTAATTTGTTGATATTCACAATAAATAATACCGTTGGCGAAAACGAAAAATTGGAAATAAAAAAGAACCTCTGCCAGAAATTTCTTCTGCCTACCCTGCCTGCCAGCGTGTGTCCCAGCAGCGTCGCTCTACTGAAAAAAAAAACTTGGGAGATTTAGCTTAATCTATGGTATAGAAACCCAATGGGGTAATTATTTAGTTAGGGTTTAACCCTGACAGACCTGGGTAGAACTTCAGCAGAATCTTTGTCAGTCGCATAGCCTGTTTTGTTTTCTTTAATACCATCAGTTCATTAGGTGAGTGTATGATGAATGAGATCTGGTGACAGAGTTTCGATTAAATCGTCTACGAATTAAAAAGATTATTGGGCTCGGGACTTTTCTGTGATATAGTTCATGCCTCGTTTTGAACAAGGTATCTTAGTATCTAAACTCGCTCAAGGTAACTGATTTAACATTATAAGTTATAGTTGATTGTTTGAATAATAAATAATCTATATTTTAAACTGTCTTCATATTGAAAGACTCTAATTGCTATAAAATATGGTGGGGATTAATATCAAAATACCGTATTATATTCTTAATCAAAAGATAATTACTTTTGCTCTTGGTTGGCCAAACCTTCTTGGCCAACAATATAAGTGATATCGTCCCAAGGATGTCTGTAAAGAGAAGTTTTGAGTCTCTTTTGGTCCAAGTGATGAGCGATCAAACCAATGGAACGACCCAAGACAAAGAGACCGTTAAGAACACCATTCTTGAGGTATTCTTCAGTTTCTTCAGCAGTAAAGTAACCAGAAGATCTCATAAGATCAACAAAAGAAACGGCAATACAACCATCGACGTTTAAGATTAAGTTGTCCTTCTTAGAAGTGGTAACTTCCTCGACAGCAAGAGCGTAATCCAGTAACTTAGTGGAGGGGAAGTTCTTCTTGACAAACTCCTTGACCAACTCAACACGGTAATCAGGGTTATTTCTAGACTTAATACGGTGGCCAATACCGGGAATGAGCTTGTTTTGCTTTCTCATAGTATCAACAAATTGTCTAGGGGATAAACCAGAATCGTAAGCATTGGTAAATTCAGTAGCAGCGCCATCCAGAGCGCCACCAAAACGGGTACCAATAGTAAGAAGACCAGCAACCAAAGAAGAAATAAGATCCTTGCCAGCTCTGGTAGTGATAATAGTGTTCATGGCACCAGAAACGGCGGGACCATGATCGGCAGTCATCATAAGAACCATTTCTAAGAACTTAGCAGCATATGAAGGTAAGCGTCTCTTGAACCAAAGCAAGGACATAACACCACCAATACCAATATCCTCCTTGAAAACTTCAGTAATGGGCATACCGGCGTAAGAGAGTTCTTGGCCTCTATCATCAGAGATAGTAGAAATGAAAGAAGCAGGCTTTCTGATAAGACCAAGTTGTTGAGCCCAGGCGTAATCAACAGGGATCTTGGGAACTTCAACTTCGGCCTTGGGGGTAATTTCACCCTGCTTCACTAAGGTTTCGTAGACTTCAGATAAGGCTTCAGGCAAATCTTCAAAGGTTTCGGGGACAACGATACCAGCAGCTCTCATGGCAGAATTCTTTGCGGTAGCAGTTTCTAATTCGGAGTTGGCCATAGAGCCAGCGTGACCGAATTGAACCTCAGTCTTGAACATAGAAGCACAAGTACCAATAGCCCAAGCAACAATGGGCTTGGTGATAGTACCGTCTTGAACGGCCTTGATGACACGATATTCTTCGACACCACCGACTTCACCAAGCAAAACAATAATCTTACACTTAGGGTCAGCTTGGTATCTGAGGATGTGATCAATAAAGGTGGTACCGGGGTATCTATCACCGCCAATAGCAATACCTTCATAGACACCATCGGTAGTGTGGGAAATGATATTGTTCAACTCGTTAGACATACCACCGGACTTGGAAACATAAGCAACGGAACCGGCGCGGTAAAGCTTAGAGGCGACGATGTTGTCCATCATACCACCGGTATTACCGACCTTGAAACAACCGGGCTTGATACCACCTACAGTAGCAGGACCAATGATGGTAACGCCCTTCTTCTTGGCCTTGTAGAGGATTTCACGGGCACGACGTTCAGGGACACCTTCGGCAATGATAGCGATGGTTCTGAATTGGGGGTATTCGAGTAATTCCATGGTGGAGGAGTAGACTGAACGAGAGGAAGCAAAGTTGACCACTACATCAACGTCGGGGTGGTTGGAGGAGGCCTTGCCAACGGACTGGTAGACAGGCAATAAGGTTTCCTTGGTACCCCAGTACATCTTGGAGACGAATTGACCACCAAAGGGATAAATGATACCGGAGACGGAGGGGGTTTCACGCTTGCAGATGAAATCGAAATCAAGCATACCTTGACAGGCTCTGGGCTGGAGACCATAGATGAAGGACTTGGTGTTAGAGTGGAAAAGCTCGTAAGCCGGGTGAGAAGAATCGATAACAGACATGGTGGAGGATTAGTTGATTAAATTACCAATCGAATTGATGTTCGAAAAGGAGGTTTAGAATAAGTAATGTTGTCCGTGGGTCGTATATATATAATGTATAATGTCTCCTCTCCCTGCTGTTTGTTGGGCCTCAGAGGAGTCATCGGACCCCTAACCTCGGACTTGTCTCCCTAATTTGCCCCGCGTCTCTAGCGCGCCCTTTGGCTTAAAGCCGGTTTTCGGCCATCATTTTCGGTTGGGAAGTCTCATGATGTCTTCAACAGATTGTATTTGGGGTCTCTTTTGGTCGGCATAATCGATACAACACGTCAGACACGGAGTAGATTGTTTATATAGTTCTTCTTTACTCCTCTCCAGGCTTCCCCTCGTAGGACTGAGCCACTCTCAGGTTGTTGGGGTGAGCTAGCTATACATTTTTCCTGGGCTAGTTTTGATTTGAGTGTGGGTTTTTTGGGACTTCTGGGTTTTTTAGCTGCTATTATCCCTCTATGTATACACTTTCTAGTAATATGGTTTGATTAAGGCTATATAGACGTACAAAAAATGCTCTTAGGAAGGTAGAATAAACATCAGTTGCTAGCTAGAGACTTAGAAAAACTTACTGGAAATCTTGGCCAGCACGTGTAAGGCCACCACGGAAAAAATGAAGCCAAGCGACATCACCATAACAACAACAGGGTCAACCTTAAACCCCTCGGCATCATCGCTATAGAGCTTCAATAAAGTCTTGGATGCTGTGGAATCGGAGGGAGAGCCAGCGGCAGAGTCATTGGCGGCTTTACGGCTACTGTACAGATGTAATCAAACATAAATTAGTTAGCAATTTCCAATCTGAAAAAAAATGAATAGTTTCTGGGTTCTAATGGGTATAAACCTCGAGAAATAGAGTAAAAAAGACAAATAAAAGAGAAGACTTACCGAGCAGCGGAAGGTTGAGCAACACCGGAGGAGGACTAAAAAAAATAAATCAATAGAGCAAAGATAAATTCAGTTAGTTGGTGTTTATTTTTTGTTTTAGCTGAATACAGCGTCTGATTCTCACCATGATCATCATAAAAGACCAAAGGCTCCACGGCTGTACGCAAAATGATGACCCAGTCATTTTAAAAGTATCAAACTAAATTCAATCTATTAATTTGACTTAGCTTAATCAGAAACCTAAATATCCACTATTATCCAGTAGTCACAATATCTTTAATGATTGACAAGAGATATATAGCGGAATATAAAACTGGGGGTACAACAAGCAAAAATCCATGGGCCAATTTGAAGAATCAAGCATATCGAGCTGTCAACGAGTAACTATGGCGTCTGAATCCAAAAGCAATACCAAAAATCTATATTCAGCAATTATCGTATTATCTTATAGCTTACCATTATGTTTCTGGTGGGTTATATGAGGATTTATGTGTTGATAGTCTAGTTGAGCCAGGACTTGAATAGAATATGTGAGGGTGCCTTCACCTACTCTAGCGACTAAGCCGCGGGTGGTTCGCTGGCACCTTTGGTCTCGGTGAATAAACCCTAACCTTCTTAGCTCTGAGCTCCAGCTTACATATCGGAAGATTAGTATGTCTCACTAGAGTCGTTAGAGTGTCATTAAAAGGATTGGAATTATGTACACTAGTTTATATAGTCTATCTTTATTAAAATTCATTTTAAGGGTTTGATTATATCTTTGTTATCATATTAAACAAAAAATGCCAAATTTTAAAAATACTCTTTAAAGTAAATCTATACTCTATTGCTGTTCTTCTAGTATAAAATCCTCCTGGTGGCCAAGCTGGCTAAGGCGCGGGACTGTAATTGATACATATATCCTGAGATCGGGCGTTCGACTCGCCCCCAGGAGATTTTTTTTCCATCTCTGATGGGGTGGACATATACGACGAAAAAGTGTGCTTGGGTTCTTATATTTAAAACCTTGAGAAAGCATTTTTATTTCGAGTTAGAAAAATATTAAAAGAGGTGTGATAACAAGAAAAGTTAAAACTTCATGTATGTTTCATTGGTTAAGTTTCTATACAGTTTTCCTTAAATTCAAGTTTTCTTTTTTCTCTCTTTTATCGACATTTTACAGGACTAACGGTAAAAAAAATAGCAAAACGCAAAGATTTTACTCTGTTTAAATAAAAACAACTTTAAAAAAATTTGCTTCTATATAAAACAAAGTGTTTTAATTAATCTAAAGACCCTTTGGTTTTATATAAGTATTTATAGCAGTGAAGAATTGTGCGACTGAAATTAGAAAATCCTCAAGGGAACAATTGAAATCAGATTTGATATATGCAAAACTTGACGTCTCTTAACGAAAGCTCCTTTAGCTCAGTTGGTAGAGCGTCAGTCTCATAATAGGGATTCTCTTTAGAAGTCATCTGAAGGTCGAGAGTTCGAACCTCCCAAGGAGCAACTTTTTTTGAAGTAGGTTTTTTTGTTTTTAACTTGTCTTTACTGGTGCGATTATATAAGTTGTCAATCTTTGTTATTAACCCAGTAAAAATACGATTCTAGTAAAGTTTTAAAGTTTCGTTTTTTAGTTTGAGTATTTAGACGGCTGAGGGAAAAGACTAACCTATACCTGATAAACCTTACCGCGTATCTTGAATGATTTAGTTCTAATCTCATATTCCACATAGTTATCAAGAGTATTTTTTTGATTCATCTTTCTGTTAATACTATTCAAATTGCGAAACAGACAAAGTGCACTCTATGCGAGCCTATAAAAACAATCACATTAAAATGATACTTTCAAGGATATACTGGACTGAAATACTGATCAAGAGAGCCAAAAAAGTAATTATAATAAGTATATAAAAAGTTGGGGTTTGAAATTAACTAAGTTCCATCAATAATATATCATTAAAAATTGAGAAGAGAAAGAAAAATGAAAATATAATAATTTAATAAAGCACCATATAAAAATACAATCGTAATATTTCCATATAAATAATTATTTGTTGAATTATGAATAATGCAGTTTCCTTAACGGTTAGACTTGGCAACACGTTCAAGTTCGTCCTTCTTCTTGATGGCGTAAGAGTTAGGGGAACCCTTACCGGCGTTGATGAGTTCTTCAGCAAGACATTCAGCAATAGTCTTGATGTTTCTGAAGGAAGCTTCTCTAGCACCAACAGTCAAAAGAGAAATAGCTTGGTTGACACGTCTAAGAGGGGAGACATCAACAGCTTGTCTTCTGACGGTACCGGAGGAACCAATTCTGGTAGAATCTTCTCTGGGACCACAGTTGACGATAGCATCAATGATGATTTGAAGGGGGTTGGCATCGGTAAGAAGAGCAATGATTTCCATAGCGTGCTTAACGATTCTGACAGCCTTAAGCTTCTTACCGTTGTTACGACCGTTCATCATAAGAGAGTTGGTAAGACGTTCGACGATAGGACATTGGGCCTTTCTGAATCTCTTGCTGGCGAAACGACCGGCGGAGTGAGGAAGGTAGACGGGTTGTCTAATTTGGATGTAATCGGTAAGAGAAATATCCTTAACTTCGACATCTTCGAAAGACCACTTGTTGAAAAGCTTGATGGAACCGGCTTCGGCAACAACGTCCTTGGGGAGGACAGTGAAAGATTGAACTTGTTCTTCTTCGGCAGACATCTTTTCCGTTAGTCGATACTTGAAAATCCGGGTAGGCGAAACGTACTATACAATAGATCCTTTTTTTCAAAAGGAAAGGAGATGGAAAAATCCCATTCCTCGGTATTGGCCGAACATTTTTTGCAATCCTCCCAATTCACTACTGAACATTATAGGCTTAAGTAAATAAGAGAATACGCATACCGCTGGGCCAAGGTGAGGATACCAGAGCCGATTAGTCATCTGATTCTTATGTAGAGGATAGTTCCTGGAGATATTCAAGTTAGGGTTAAACCCTAAATGTCTGTAACCGTTGGCCACGATCCCCCTCACTTGGATGATAATAATGTAAATTATCGTTCCAATAGGAATACTATTAGCCCGATATAATAGGGATAGGGAATAGTTTTGCATCGGAGACCTTATAAAACATAAAACTATCGATTTATTCTAGTTTAGAATAAGTTTAAAGAATATAGCTATCTGATTACATAGAAAACAGCTCTAGAAAAACTCACAAGAACTAAAGGGCTTGTAGTACTATCATAAAAGAAGAAAAAAAGGGAAAGATATTTATTCCCGTTAGACACCAATTTTTTTAAGGGTATTTTTCTTTCGGGTTCCTGGGACTTTTCGATGATAATATTCTTCTATATCGTATTCGAAACCATCCAGTTCGGTCGTATATTCAAGGTTACTACTTCCAGTAGATTGATTAGCTTCTGCTTCCATAAAATTAGCAGTGTCTGGACGCTCAGTATCCAGCACCGTTGTATTTGCTATTGGCTTCTGAGCCTGATTGTTAGCAGCAGATCGCGCTTGATTTATCGAAGCTACTTCCGCATAGGTCAGCTTTCCTAATGATACATTAGTAAAATCACTCCCATCATGACAGTCTTTCATAGAAACAACAGGCTCAGTTTCCTGTACTGATGGTGAGGTGTGAACTTTTAGTTTACAGGATACTTTATCCCTAAGCCTATGGAGTGAGACTTCAGGTTTGCGATTACCCAAAAAGCTAGCATAAGCCTGTCTACCCATGTTATAAGCAAGAGAGCCTACACTATGAACCAAATAGCCACCTTGTTGCCGAATACCCTTACGGGGCTCAGCCTTTTGACTATCTGGGTGGGTCTCGTTTGGAATTACCACAGGGATTGGCGCAGTGGCATATGATGATGCCATTGATGGGAAGGTGATAGGCTCTGTAGGTGCGGATGGGTTTACCATGATAGGGGTCTGATTTGCTACCGGCGCTTGATTATCGTCAGAAAGTTCAATGGTTTCTAGTCTACCCCCCAAAGAATTGACATTACTAGAAATAGAGTCCATGTTAACTGGTGAAAAAGGTAGAATTGAATGAAGTGTTTTTTTTTTTTTTCGCTACGGCGCTTAAAAGCTCAACGTCTTTTTTTATGAATCAAGCTGTAGCACAAGCTTCAAAAATAAACGTTAGAGTCGATAAGAATTAACTAAAAAAATGTTCAAAGTTAAGTACAAATGAACAAAATCGATGTTTATTGAAATCAAATTGGCACGAGGCAATTCGGGGCACAAATGAAATTGACGGCTGAAACCGATATGGACACGAAAACCGTACAAAAACCCATATGTTTGAACACTGATAAGATAAGGTAACCCTATGCACGGGAACTCGACAACCCAACTATGCTGAGTCAGTAATTGAAAATGAAAAACACTCCAGTTAATTGGGTAAAAAGTACCGTGATGAAAAAATAGGCAATAAATATTTATAGTAAAATATATTAAAAAATTACTTATAATCTAGTCCATTGCTTCAAAGGGTGTCGTGACCCCATAATCTTAGCTATTTCCATTAACCCAACATCTACCTTCATCATTTTAATTTCATCACGAGCGTTTGCCCCCATACCCCTATTACCGGTACTTCCACCTAGGCCGATAAGCAAGTTCATTGATTCCAATCGTTCCCAGCCAGCACGAGCTATATCACGACTCCAGATTCTATATCCTGCTACAGATAACGAGCCTGATGCCGATAACGCCGTCGATGAATCACCACCGGCACCCATTCCAGAATTGGACATTCGTGATAAAGATGACATATTAGCGATTCGTTCTTGTTTAAACTGGGACGCCACTTGGAAATATTCTTCATAGACCAAATTAAAATTCAGAGATTCAATTTCTAACTTGATCTGAACGCGGGCCGCACAGATAATCAACGAAAGTTCTAATTCACTTAAGCCTTCAATGAAACCTTGTGTATCGGCAATTGACTTTTCTCGTTCATATAACAAGAAATTAGCCTGTTTGGGAAAGGGATTAGACATAATCATCCCAAGCAAAATCTTATTGAAAAACTCTCGTACATCCTTGGTGGTGTAGAAAACCTGTTCCAATATCCGATAAAAGTTGCCTTGTTTATCACTATATAGCCACTCTATGTATTGATTCCAGATTTCTAAAAAGGACTTGTCAGATTCACTCAAAGATGGCGTAGCATCAGTTGAAGGACTGTTGTTGACATATTCAGATATAAATTCAGCAGCGTCAACCGTAAGAGAACTTTTACAAATTATCCAAAAGTTTTCAAGAGAACTAGCCCGTTCTAATTGATGAATTCTTTGACTGAAACGGCTTCGAACCCGCTTCTCCAACATGTCTCTAGCATTAATTTTGGCGGTTACTCCAATCACTGCAATTGGCGCTTTACTGGATTGAGCAATATCAAAAAGATTATAGAGTAAAGTTTGCCTACCATGCTGAGCAAATTTGTCGAACTCTTCCAAAATAAAAATAACTGATACGATTTCCTTATTGTTTTCTTCATCATCTTCGTACTGACTGAAAATCTTCAACAGACTCTGTAATGTTTCTGACATAGACCTCTTTTGTAGCGTTGTTGGTTCCGTTTGAACCGGTTCATTAGTTGTATAAATATCTTCTGTATAGGCCGTATCATTACTTTTTCCATCACTATCATCCGTTTCATTTTTGACTTCGGCTATTAAGTCTTTCTTATGCTTACTTTGTAAGTGTAGATCAATCTGACGTGTTATTTCTCTCAATGCTATCCTATCATCAGTCTGAGCATGGCCTGATAGCTTTACTGTAATGAACTGGCCACTGTATTTTTTTCTCAAACTTTCTACAACAGTCGAGACTAAAAGAGTTTTTCCCGAGGATTTTGGACCTACCAGCAAGCAAGAATTGCCTTCACCTTCCTCAATCGTTTGTTGTAATAGCTGGTATAGCTTAGAGTATTCCTCATCTAATAGACATAACTGACATGATTGGCGACCCGTTAACTTAGCGGTAACGTGTGACAGGACCCGTTTAAGAACCCGTTTTGATACTGTAACCCCATTGAAGATGTCCGATGACATGATTGTATTGGGCTGTTCACTGACTGGTTGAGGCCTAAGGAGATCACCATCTACCTCTAAATCACTTTCTTCACTAACTGGAGCATCTGGATTTATATCCGTCTTAGCTGCTACCTTAGCTGAGGTCGTAGATGGCACCACAGATGCCCCTGTGAGAAAAAATGACTTGGATGGGGTTGGACTCAATTGATCTGTAGGCGCTGGAAAAACATCTTCATCAGCTGAACTGTTTGAGCTTTCATTATGGTTACCGTTTTCGTTTTCGGAATCGCTAAATGTGGTACTGACCGCGGTTCCTTCTTTTGATAAACGGCGTCGCTTCTTGGTATTTTTTATAGGGGTAGTTGTTCCAGATTGACTCCTATATGACCATGACATCACTAAAATAATATATATTCAACTGCACAATATTAATAGTGAAAAGTCAACTGCTAGCGTTAACTT